AACACGAGCTGTTCGCGAACAACGAGCCGTTTTGACAGCCCTAACCATCATTTCTTCTCATGAAATTTTTGCGTTATTAATGCATTCTATCACATCAATTGATCGGCAGTTTCTGGAATGGCTGGAAGCTAATAAACACATTGAACTCGGGGAACGTGATTATGCATCTCGTCTTGATTTAGTTGCCAAGGTGCAGGGCCTTCAAAAGGCAGAAAAGTACATTGAAAAAATTCCTCAATCCTTGAGGGGTGAGATCATTTACAGAACACTTCTGGCCAACTGCGTCACTGCTGCTAATCTCAAGAAATCAGAGGAAGTGTTCAATAAAATAAAGGACCGAGGTTTCCCCATCACAACCTTCGCATGCAACCAACTTCTATTACTTTATAAAAGGGTGAACCGGAAGAAAATCGGCGACGTCCTCAAAATGATGGAGAAGGAAGATGTTAAGCCATCTCTCTTCACATACAAGCTTTTAGTGGACACCAAAGGCTGTATACATGATACACAGGGCATGGAAGATGTAATCACGGCAATGAAGGCCGAAGGTCTTGAGCCTGATTTCTCCTTGCAAGCCTTAGTTGCCAAGCATTACATCTTTGCTGGGCACAAGAAAAAGTCTGAGGCTACCTTGAAGGAGATGGAAGGGGATGACATTTGCACGAACCGCAATGCTTGCAAATCTCTTCTTCCCCTATATGCCGCGCTCGGTAAGGCCGATGACGTAGAAAGAATTTGGAAAGTTTGTGAACATAATCCCCGATTAGAGGAATGTTCTGCGGCAATAGAGGCTTGGGGCAAGTTGGGCAAGCTTGGGGCAAGCTTGGCAAAGTAGAAGATGCTGAGAAAGTTTTTGAGAAGATGAATAAATTGTTCAAGAAACTTTCTTCTAAATACTACAATGTACTTTTGAAGGTGTATGCTGATCACAAGCTGCTATCAAAAGGGAAAGAATTGGTGAAGAGAATGGCGGATGGCGGGTGTAAGATTGGACCTTTGACTTGGGATGCCTTAGTCAAGCTCTATGTTGAGGCTGGAGAAGTCGAGAAAGCTGACTCTATTTTGCAGAAGGCGTCGGAGCAGAATCAAATAAAGCCACTTTATTCAACGCATATATATTTGCTGGAAAAATATGCTGAAAGAGGTGATGTTCACAAGGCCGAGAAGATTTTTCACAGTTTGAGGGAGATTGGTTATGCTGGTAGGATGAGGAAGTATCAGTTGTTACTTCAGGCCTATATAAATGCAAAGGCACCAGCTTATGGATTTAGGGAGAGGTTGAAAGCCGATAATATTTTAGTTAACAAGGGCTTTTTTGCACAATTACATGCTGTTGATGCATTCAGAAAGTCACCAATTTCGGAATTGCTTGAGTAAGTTCCTTCACTATCTCAGCACTTTGAAGCAGAGAAACTGGAGTCATGTAGTGGTTTAGATCTGTTATGGAAATTGATATTTATTAATGAATTTTGCTAAATAGGTTTCCTTTAATGACTGTCATTGAAACTATGGTATATTTGCTATTCTCAGAATTGTTATTTGATCTAATATATATATATATAGATTTGCTGTCATTTTTCAATTTCGTGCTGATAAAAATTGTGTAACCCTTTACTTGTGTCTTCATTTTATGTTTGGCTTCTGCAGTTTGATGCTTCAAAAGCAATGAAACTTAAATCTTTTTTATTAACCTCCAATTTGATAAGTTTGAACTTCACTTTCTGATGTTTGGGAGATTCCTACTTGTCCAGCTCTCACTATTCAAATAAATTATTACATGATCCTATTAAATTCTTTTTTTTGTGGGATTTACACCATACCAGGCAAAACTGTGGAAAATACCAATATAACACGGGAAAGTTAATATTTACGTGTATGCCACGCAAAATTTTCGTGTAAATCCTAATCTGAAAATAAGATTTAGAATTCTTAATGAGATGTGTATGTTATGATGCAATGAGTCGGGCAAGTTGAATTGGTTCGGTATATATCACCAGAAATCTCAAGTGAAGGGCAAATGAATGTAAGCTTAACTATCAACAAGTGCATCTTGTTTTGCAAATAAATTGACAGTAGGAAGGTCTAATGAATATAAGCCTAACCCTTCAATAGCCTATATTTTCTTTTTGCAATGTTACTTGGGTAGTCCCATCTCTCATATTCGCAATGCAAGAAGTTGAGCTGGTATTATTTTTCATTCATGCAGCTTTGTCTTAGACTGATAGGAATAATAGGTGAGATACTGTTTATGATTCCAAACTCGTCCATAAATATTGCTAGAGCCTTAGTGACAAGAATGCCTGAATGCTGTTTATCCTTCTTGATGTCAGTTTAGCATGTTTCAAGTTTGGACTCTATAACCGACAGTTTAAACTTCATTTTATTTATATGACACCTTACCTATGCATAAAAATGTTTACATTAGTTTTAAAAGTTAAAATAGTGATATGTTTGTGTGATGAGATAGATTTGGGTGGTAGAAATGTAAAAAATAAAGTCTTACATGTCAGATGTGTCAATACATAGGAATTGAGTGGAATTTTTGTAAATGGCTTTTAGTTTTATTACTAGTCTTTGGATATTTCTATTGTTGTTTACTGCATAAAATTAATTTAATAATTGAAGTAATGAAGGTTTTTTTAACGCCCTCAATTCCTATGTAATTACATATGGCCTTCTAAACAATTTGATAAGGTACTCAATTTTATAATTTACCACGCAGATATTGTTCAATTGATTGCCTCAGGCTGCACTGGGATATTGTTCTCCAGAATAAAAAATTTTTGTATTTCCGGGGTTAATACCTTTTGTAGTCTCTTTTCATTCACTTTTGTTATATTGTTGAATCCAAACAAATCATGTTAATTACACTCGTGTATAGAGCATCGGATGGACAAGTGGAACAAAAATAGGGAGAAAGAGGAAGATTGAGAAAGAGAACGCCAGTAAAACAAGGTCTTGGCAAGTAAGTTCAGTAGTTCTTTATTGAAGAAATGATCTCCTATTTATAAGTCTTATAGGTATCTAGTATAAAATTACACGTCTGTCCTTATTTTAATAGACAAGTTACAAGTTATTATGACACATTTTCATATTTGTATTCGACTCTGACACACTGTCATATTAGTAATTGACACAATTTCATATTCATAATTGCTTGAAGAGGGGCATTTAATGACTGAAATCATAGCTATTACTGAAATCCTAAAAGGTAGAGTTAACTGGGTCGGGGTACCACGGACCCACCATACACAGCTACTAGGACCCTAAGTCTACTTGGTCATGAAGGTAGTCGACCCAACACACCCTGAGATCCTCAGTCAGCAATCCGTGAATTGCGTCATCCACGGGAACCTCGGTAGCCCTAAGGTCAAAGGAAGGAAACTCTATCCTATGACTACAAGCTGAAGCTCCAAGTGGTGTGACTTATACCTGCCGAAATAACAAGAATGCCTCAAGAAAGAAGAGAAGCGGAGGTTCAGCTACAAAGATGGAAACGCTCTAAACAAAAAGACTTATAACCCGTCTGGGTCGGGGAGCCTCCTAACATTTTAGACGCACTAGACAACCACCTATATAAAGGTATGCTGGGCCAGTCAGGTTGGATAAACACTGAGACTCATCCTCGGGACATGCAAATATAAATGTAGTTATGTAGAGCGGTCCTTAAGTATTGTAGAGACTTTATTAATATAAGTAGAAAAGTAAAATTGTAATTTTTAGATCCTTAATATTTTAATCCTAAATTTTAATTATCTTGAATATTAATTATCTTAAATATTTTATTTAGGATTTTTAAGTAGAAAAATTAGGATTTTAAGTCTTAATGAGCCTATGTTTCATCGTAAAATCCTAGATAAACCACCAGAAAGAAACAAGGAAAACACATGCAAATGTGCAGACATGCAATATGATGCAAAAAACAAAACAAGCTAAATAAAATAATAAATAGGCTGGTGCCACTGGGTCGGCAATATATCCCAGCAAAGAAAAAGGCATTCGGGCTCTGCATATACACGCTACATGCCCGGTCCTAATTCTATACATCAATATAAAATGCAGAATTAAGTTACGAGGCACGAGCATCTGCTCCTGGTCCCCTCCACGTGGTTCCCACGCCAAACTCCTCGAAACCCGTGCACGTATCTTATTTATGCTACAAGACTCTCCTAGACTCTAAAAGTTCATAGAGAAAAGAAAAATACTCAATCTTGCATGAAAACAAGTGTCAGTGAGAAAACTCACATGTAAATAACGTATCATGAGTCATGCCTTAAAAGTGGGGGAGCTAATAGCACCAATAAGCAAAAGGGTCAGAAATCATTACTTGCTCCCCCTATAGCGGTACGTGTGTGTGCACATATAAATAGACATGGCTCCCTGCAGAAGAACACCTTAATAAACTACCATACATATGCAGCATGCAACTACACCACAAGCACAATGCAAAAGAAAGATGTCTTGCTAGGGCAACCAATCCAGCAGAGAACAATAGCCAGAAATAAAAAAGACTACCTAGCACCCTAAACCCTAGCCTAGCACACTATCTAATGAAAATTACGTCAACCTAGTATCTAAGTGTGGCATATGTTTGGATATAGTATAACTTTGACGGGGTCGCCATACCGACCCCATCCTAATAATCCGAAGGATTTAAAGGGTGTCACGAAGAGTGGTGACACAAGTTAGATCTATTAGATCATTAGCACAGTCATACTCGTGTCAATCCCGATGACTTAACTCACATTGCTTGTCGGGATCAACCTAGCAAGCAATGCTCGTTAAGGCATCGCGATCGACAGGATCACTCTCCTAACGAGCCCGACTCGCTACCCATGCAAACATGCAAATGCAAGTGCAAACAGTCAAATGACAAAGTGATGAGTGTACCATGAGGCAGTGACTCAGAGAAAGATGGCCATGTCGTAAAGGCAGCAACCCAAACAAATGTGTGCCATAGCGGCAGTGACCCGAAGGGTGGGCATGACGCTGAGGCAGTGGCCTGAAGAAGGTGTGTCAAGGCAGCAATGACAGAAAGGGATGGGCGTGCCATGGCGGCAGCAGCCCGAAGAAGGTGTGTCAATGCGTCAGTGACCGAAAGGGATGGGCATGCCGTGGCAGCAGCGACGACAGAGAAAAAAAGGGATGGGTGTGCCGAGGCGACAGTGACCAAAAGAGATGGGCTTGCCGTGGCGGCAGCGGCCCGACAGGGGTGCAACACAAGCAAATGACAATGATCATACAAGTTAACACATACAAGATGCGACATACAAATTGACAAACATGTGATATAATGCAAAAGCAAATAAACATGCAAATGATCGGTTGATCAGATCGTGGTGCCCGGTCTAACCAAAGTGATTGGTTGACCGGGCCGGAGCAACCGATCTAACCAAAGTGAGACGCTCATTGGGTCGGGGCGGACGATTAGAGTGAAGTGAAATGCTCGTCGGGACGAGGTGGCTGATTAGAACAAAGTAAGATGCTCGCCGGGCCAAGGCAACCTGTTGGAGCGAAGTGAAATGCTCATCGGGCAGGGGCAGCCGATCGAAGCAAAGTGAAATGCAACATGCACCAAGCAAAAAAATACAATATGCAACAAACCAACATGCAGATAGCAAACCAGACTCGTGCTAACGAGCTCACCTGGGAGCCTAAGGTTTAGACCCTTGGATGTGCGACATCGCCGCCTCTTGCTAATAAAGCGAGAGTTTTAAATAGGATATTTTATTATTATAATAATAATAATATTATTATTATTTAAAACTCTCTGTGCATTATTCGCCGAACAAATGAACCTCTTAGGTAAAATCAACGTTCCGGACGCACTAGTGTAGTCTGTTTCGTCGTCCGAGGTCGTTTGAACCATTTTTTTCCATAATCGGGTCGAAAATGATAATTCGTACATTTTCATCCCGTCTGCGAAGCCGTAGCGAAGTGGACATTCTCCGTAGGTTAAATCGACGTTCCAGACACACTCATGTGGTCCGTTTTGTTGTCCGGGGTCATCTGGACAACTTCAGTGACGACCAGGCCAATTTGAGCCTGTTTCACGCGCGACACGACGAATGATATTCTTCGAGCCGATTGAAGTCGTTCGACGTGCCAAATGCCGACCGGCCTTCGCCTAAGTGAAAATCAAAGCCTAGCAGAATGACCCTGGCTACGTGCCCCTCAACACGTGCCAAAAAGATATCGGTCGGGTGTCTGAACTATCTGATATTACGGACGAGTCATATACTATTTCGAGTCATGCATGTGGACACCCTACACTTGTGATATCAAAAATTGATGCCAACAGAGGAGACTGATGAGTAAACAGAAGATGAAACTGGAGATGATTAGTATTGTTGTTTGTTTTGTTGTATTTCTTTATTTTGTTTGATGTCTTGAACTCTTTAGTGTAGAAGTTGTTGTGAACTTGTAGTAATTTTGACTTATTACTGTTTGTGCTTATACTGCTTGTTGTCTGTGTTGTTGCACTGCTCATTGTTTTACTATACTGCTATTATTGTATGTGTAATATTTA